ATATAGTTTCAATCTCATTTGAGAGAGAGAGAGAGAGAGAGAGAGAGAGAGAGAGATAGAGAGAGTGTGTGTGTGTGTGTATCAGTATCAGGTAGGGGATGTGGAGGTCAAAGGTCATACCTGGTGTCCTTAGTTGCTCTCCACCTTATTTTTTGAGGGAGTCTCTCTCACTGAACCTAAAGCTCACTGGTCTGCTGGACTGTATTGCCAGCAAGTCCCAGGAACCCTCCTGCCTCCACCTGCCCAGCATTGGTAGCACTGGCCTGTGCTTCCCTGGGTGCTTGGGACCGAACTCAGGACCTTGTGTTCATGCAGTGGGCACCTTACCAACTGAGTAAATCCTTTTCCCAGCCCTGTGCTGACACTTTCAACTCCTTTGTGTCAAACTGATGTTGCATAGTAAAAGCTGTCTTTTAATATCTGTACTGGGTATGACCTCTTCTCTGATGTGTGGGCTCTCAGGTGGATCTTTTTTTTTTTACCTTTCAAGCAAAAGTTTCTAATGTTTTTTTATCAACAGTCTGTACTGTAATAGCAGTCACTTTTTAGGAATTGATGAGTCTTTCTTGGTAGCTAATTTGTGAGAGTTTTTTTTTTAATTATTATTAATCAGTATTTCACAATGCATGCAAAAATGTATCTACTCTCTGACTTTCTTGGGTACAGGATTCTGGCCACCTTGTAGCTTTCAGAGGCAGATGTATGTCTCACTCAGCTCCATCATGGTGGCTGTCTGCCGCCAGCAGACTCCTCCCTCATCTTCATCTAAGTGTTTAAGTAAGTGGTTCTGGCCCAGATGCATGAATCAGGCATGCCTTTTGTCCTGGTGGCACTTCTTTTTAGAGGGAATGTTTGTTTTTTTGTTTTGTTTTGGGTTTTTTTGATGCTAAGGAAATACATTATTTCTAATCTTGGTATCCCTGCAGGCTGTAAAGAGATTTCTTGCTGTGCTAATGGACTTGAACAATATGTAATAGAATAAATACATGGATCATATTTACTGTATTATTGTATTTATTGTATTAAATGCTTTATGCATTTTCCCAGTTGCATTCTTGCTTTTTTCAATAGGTTATGCACTGGTATTACTAGCTCCTCTCAGCATTTTTTCCTTAATTCAAGCTACCCCCACCCCATCCACCTATCACTCCCCAGGCAGGGTAGGGCCCTCAAAGGGGGCTCTGCAAAGTCCACCAAATCTTCCTGTGCTGGTCCTGGGCCCTTTCCCATGTGTCCAGGGCCAGAGTGTATCCCTTCACGTGGGATGGGCTCTCAAAGTCCCTTCTTGCACCAGGGAAAAATACTAATCCACCACCAGAGGCTCCCTGGAGTACAGAGGCCTCCTTATTGACATCCATGTTCAGGGGTCTGGATCAGTCTTGTACTGGTCTCCCTGACAGCATCTGGGGCCCATGTGCTCTTCCTTGTTCAGGTCAACTGTTCCTGTGGGTTTCTCCAACCTGGTACAGACCCCTTCGATCTTCATTCCTCCCTGTCTTCAACTAAATTCCCGGTTTCAGCTCAGTGTGTATCTGTGGATGTCTGTCTCTGCTTCCATCATCCACTGGGTGGGGGCTCTAGTTCCTGGGTCGGTCGGCCCAGAAATTCAGTTTTTACAGTGTCCCTTCCACTCTAAAAAGTCTTGCTTTCTAAAGCTTGATAGGTGAAGGCACTGTCAGTGGTGTGGGCGTCACAGGTGTGCCTCTAAAGCCTATGACTGTTTCTCCCTCGACGTCTTCAGTCCTCTTTTACGTTGCTGCCTCTTGGCTCCTCTTCATTTCGGGTTGCTCTGGTCAGATGTAAATGCTCTGCTGTTTTCTCCTCCTGTTCACAGGTGGCTACTGGAACATTCTGTTCTCTCTGTGTTGGTTTAAAATCTTTGCTCCTGTGAATCAGGCCTTGCTGGTGTCCACTGGGAACTGGGTATCTGTCACCTGTGACCTGTAGCAGCTGTCAAGGAATTGTGGATGGTGTCATAGAGAAAACATTTAAAATGGGGCATGGTGGCGCACTCCTGTAATCCCAGGAGAGCCAGCCTGGCTTCATGAGACACGGTAGAAAAAAAGAATTTCTTAGGAAATATATCTTCAGATGCCTCTTAATGAACAAAATAACCTTCTTGTGTTATATTTTAGTTAAGGTGAATAGTCTGTAGTAGTCTGTTTAAACTCAGTTCCCTGTGAGGGATTTTGGTTTTTTACTGGGTGATCTTGTTTGCTCCTCAGATTCTTACTTAGCCGCCAGGTGGCGCGGTGTCATCAGCCATGAGTCAACTCTCAGGTAGCTGTTCTAGAGAAAGCCCTTCTGATGCTCGGTTCCAGACAGTGTTTTTATTTTGGCTTTGTTTACCTGTGGTTCTTACTTTGTTTGAGTTGATTTCTTAGGGGCATTGTTTCCATTGAGAGGGACAGAGAGAACATACTCAGTGCTATTTCCTCAATGACCTTAATAACAATAATAACTTATTATTATAGCTGTTATTGTATAATATAATACTATTATTATGTAGTATAATAACAATAGTAATTTATTGTCCTTGTTATTATTATTACTAGGATTGGTTTCTTTCACAAAAGCTTAAGGAAAAGGTCTGTTAGTTTGTGGGAATTTGGGTTTGTCTTTTAAGGAAATAAGGTGATTTTTGTCCTTAAGTCTGTGGTTGTGCACAGAACTTGATCACAGTGTCACATGGCCTGTGCATTCTCACCTTATCAGCATTGTCATTCAGGAGAATCGGCCTCAAAAATATATGTGCGGGATTCAAGTGGGTACAGGTGATACCTGTTGAGTGTCTGATGCTTACACAGCTGGGTTGGTTCTGGTTGAAAATGATGCTGACATTGTTTCAAATCACAAGTTGTAGTTGTTAAAAACAAGGCTATGGTGGTCAGGGGTGGTGGAGTGGATGGTACCTGTGTCTCTGCAAAGGACCAATGCAGAGGCTGGCTGGTAAGATCCGGTTGCTGGAACCGGATCCTGGAGTGTGAGACTGATCTGTGGGGTTTCAACGATGCAAGGAAAGACTTCTACTTAAAAAATTATGAGTGAAACACTTTCCTAAGCTGTGTTTGGTGGTGCAGTCCTGTCACCCTGGCGTGGCACTCGGGAGCTGGAGAAAGGAGGATAGAAGTTCAAAGTTTTCGCCGGGCTGTGGTGGCGCACGCCTTTAATCCCAGCACGGCAGAGGCAGGCGGATCTCTGTGAGTTCGAGACCAGCCTGGTCTACAAGAGCTAGTTCCAGGACAGCCTCCAAAGCCACAGAGAAACCCTGTCTCAAAAAACAACAACAAAAAAGTTCAAAGTTTTCCTGGGCTACATAGCAAGTTTGAGGCCAGTTGAGACCCCATCTCAAAACAAACCAAACATGGACCAACCAACCAAAGACAGACGTGTGCTTCAAACCCCAGCCCCTGCCTTCCCATTGCATCGCTGGACAGTTGTCACTAATGCCTTTAGGCTGCTTCCCTTTCCTGAAGTCTGAGCTGACTGGCTCTGAAACTTTGATGTAATTAGCTTTCTTTGACACTCACATCCCTCCCATGGCTGTCACTGGTCAGGATCAAGCCAGAGTCCTCATCGTATTTTCCACATCCCACCCATGACACTTCCCGCTCTCCAGCCCTCGGCCTTCCCTGGGCACAAGCAAGGCCAGTGTGTTCTTTCCCAGGGATTCTGTGGCTGTTCTCACTCCATGGTCCTGCCCATGGTACAGGACCCAGTTTGCCTTCTGTCACCCCAGCATCTTGGTAGCTGGTTCCAGGATTGGTACTGTGCTTGCTACTAGATAGTAGTGGTGCTATGAGTGTGTGTGGCTATTCTACATATGCTCAGCTTTTACAGCAGTAGACATAGAGAGGCCTACTGATTTCCATATAATATAGTTCATTTTCCTGTAGAAGTAGTTTGTTACTCCTTTTAGCATTTTGGTTTAAAGGGTTTTATATAACCAGTCACCACTCCCTCGTGTGTGTGTGTGTGTGTGTGTGTGTGTGTGTGTGTGCGCGCGCGCGCGCGCGTGTGTGCGTGCGCGCACACCTGTTTGTACAAGTACATGTAGAGGTTAGAGGACAACCTCAGATATCATATGTTTTTCAGGTACTGTCCACCTTAAAGTTTTGTTTTGTTTTTTTAATGTGGGTCTTTTGCAAGTCACACCTGGGTCCCTGTAAGAAGAGCCAGTCTTTTCTTTTTAGACAAGGTGTCTCACTCACCTAGGAAGCTAGGCTGGCCAGCAAGCCCCACCTGCCTGTCTCCACCTCCAATCTAGGATCACAAGTGTGTACCACCACGCCTGGCTTCCCCATCTCTCTTAACAAAAGCATTTTATTTTGAGGTAACCATGGATCCCTCTGAGTTGTGGGAAGCAATGGAGGTGTGCTCTAAAGCCATCCTAGTTCGCCTATGGGGTTTCCCCCACACCCAAGTTACTAACACTAGCATAGTCAAGCTCTAGAACGTTCCTGTCACAAGATCCTTGCTCTTTTATAATTTGACCTCTTCTCTCCCACTTTTAGCTCCTGGCCGTCACTAGTATGCCCTCCACTTCTGTAATTCTGTCCTTTCAAGCTGGTGAATATAAGAGGATTCAGTTTAAAGCATAGCAGGGTTTTTTGTTTTTTTGTTTTTTGTTTTTTTGTTTTCAATTTGGCATAATTCTCCAAGAGTTGTCCAGGTGATTGTGTGTGTGTTTGTTGCTGTATAGTCTTCCATGGTATGGATATACCACAGTTTATTTAACATATTTTAGCTATTTCTAGCTTGTGACTACTTTTTGTTCTTTTCTTTATTTTTATTTTTATTGAGACAGATCTCAAGCTGGCCTCAAACTGGCTATGTATCTGAGGATAATCTTGATCCTCCTGATTCTACCTTCCAAGTGCGAGTTACAAGCATATGCCACCATGTCCAGCTTAACTGGTTTGAATAAAATGTCAACACTTATGTATAGATTTTTGTGTGAATATGAGTTTTAATTCTTTCTGAGTAAATGCTTGGATGTTCCTTTGCTGGATTGTATGTGTATTGGCCGCCTTTCTGTTACTATGATGGAATACCTGAGGAAAACAACTTCAAGGGAGAAAGTTGTGTTTTGGCTTGAAGCTTCTGGGGTTTCTGTCTGTCAGCTCCAGTGCTCTGGGCCTTGGTGAGGTTGTGTGTCATGGTGGAGAGGGTGTTCTGACAGCAGAGCACAGCTGCTCACCCATGCAGCAGAGGAGCACAGGGAGCGGAGAGGTCAGGAGCAAGATGCACCCTCAAAGACAGCTTCCAGTGACGGCTTCCTCCAGCCAGGTCCCACCTCGTAACAGTCCTTCAGTGTGAGTTCTCAAGGGTGAAGAGAGACCCTCCATTATCCAGTCACCACACCTCTCAAAAGCCCCTTCATCATGCCCAAGCCTTCAGCAGACGCTTTTAGATTCAAGCTATAGATTGGGAAAGTCTTTAAAGACACCCCCAAGCTGCCTAACCAGCAGTTACCAGAGACCCAGTTTCTTCTGCCTGACACCGGCATTGCTGTCTAAATTGCGCTTAGAACCACTGGTGCTCTTGGAGACGCTTTCATGAGCTTACTACTGACCATGTGTCACCTTCAGTGAAATGTCTCTGTGTCTCTTGTCCCTCTGCAGATTGGTTTGCGTGCTTCTGCCAGAGTTTTGAGTTCTCTGTGTGTTTTACTGACTGTACATGTCTTCGATGTAATGTGTGATTTGCAAATGTTTGTTCTCACTTGTCCTTTCAGCTTCTTGGGGACTCTGCAGAATAAACAGTTTCTGATAAGTTCAGTTCATCAGGTTTTCCTTTCTTGGAACCCACTTGGGGTGCTGCCTCTAACTTGCCTAGCTCACTCCTAAAGACCTTCTCTTCCTCCTTCCCCTAACTGAAGGAGCGCTCACTCCTCTTTGAGTCAGCATGGAAGAAGGAGAAGGACATTGTTTCCAAGGAGATAGAGAAGCTCAGAGTGTCCATCCAGACCCTGTGTAAGAGTGCACTTCCCCTGGGAAAGATCATGGACTACATCCAGGAGGACGTCGACGCCATGCAGAATGAACTGCAGTTGTGGCACAGTGAGAACAGGCAGCACGCTGAGGCCCTGAGCAAGGAGCAGAGGTGGGGCTGCAGAAGGGAGGGGGTGGGGCTGCAGAAGGGAGGGGATGGGGCTGCAGAAGGGAGGGGGTGGGGCTGCAGAAGGGGAGAGGTGGGGGATCTGAACGAGATACTGATGAACTCATCCAAAATTGTAACTGAAAGAAATAGACTAGCCACTGAGAAGTGAGGTTTATTTGGAAAGCTGTTTTATTTAAAGGACATTTATTTAGAAAGGTCCCCTGCGTTTGTAATCAGTAAATCTAGAAGCACATGACTGTTAACATGTGGCTTTTTCTTCAGAACATACGATTTGACTGAGTGGTACGTCTGTAAGTCCATGTTACAGAAAAACAGAGGAGAGGTGTCGCCTGGCTGGTCCAGGCTGAGCCCAGTGTCTGTGGGGACTTGGTAGCCCACTTCCCTGCTGCCCCTTGGTCTTTTGTGTGTGTGTGCTTCAAGGACTTCAAGCCTGTCACTGAGGAAATAGTAGCTCCTTTTCATTTTGCTTTTGAAAGGGAATCTCATATGGGCTAGGGAAACAGCTCTGTAGTAAAGTCCCTTCCTAGCATGAGGCTCGGGTTCTCTCCCTGGTTCTGTGGGAAGAAAACAAGTGATTGGCATTTTCAGGCTTGGTTGCACCACAGGCCTGGCAGTTGTAAGTGGTGCCTGGGGTCTGGCACTTAACCCTTTTCTTGGTGAAGTCAGCACTTTGCTGGAGGGAGCAGTACAGACAGAACCCTCAGGACACTGATGAGCTACTGGTTGTCTCCCCCCAGCATCACGGACAGTGCGGTGGAGCCCCTGAAGGCAGAGCTATCTGAGCTGGAGCAGCAGATCAGGGACCAGCAGGACAAGATCTGTGCTGTGAAGGCCAACATCCTGAAGAATGAGGAGAAGATCCAGAAAATGGTGCACAGTATCAACCTGACGTCACGAAGGTGAACAGCCAGCCCTGCGGAGATGGAGCCGTCTTCCTCATGATGGGAGAAGGGGAAGGAGACAGACATTCTGCCCCAGTCTGCTGAGAGCATGGACTGCAGATGCCTGGACCCAGCTAAAGTCAGAGCTTTCGGTTTAGGCACTAAACTTATTAAAAGGCTGTGTTTTTTTACTTCCAGCTGCAGTACTTGCTACTTTAGTTTTCAGCTTGCCTTTGTGGGAGGGCTTATTTCTCTGGGTTTTTTTGTTTGTTTGTTTGTTTGTTTGTTTTTTTCTTTTTTGGCAAATGTTTTCTGCTGCAGCCTGTTTAATCCTGTACCCAAAGTTTCTAGCAGGTAAGTTGTGTCATGCTACTGGGGAAACTGCAGGCCTTTATTCTGCTTCTGAGTCTCCCAGAAGGACTTCCTACCAGCACCGAGCAAAGGGTGACTGTGGACTTTGTGGTGTGTACTTTACAAATAGAAAGAGAACAAGGCCTCAAACGATTAATTTCACTTTCATTTCTACCTGAAAGGGGTATTCCAGCCGGTGTCCTTGAAAGGTGCCTGTCACCTGTGCAGGGTTTCTGCCCTTACTATCATACCTGCATCTTCCTGCAGTCTCTCATGGCCCTGCCGTCTGCCTTCCTGGCAGTTCATATGCTGAAAATCAGTCTGCCCTTCACGGATCCATCTGATGGGAAACTGTCGCTGTTCACCTCCTTGGCTTTCTTCAGCCTCCAGGGTTCTTCTGGTGGATAAGCAGTCCCCCAGGCCTCCTAGGACTTTGTAACATGAAGGGCAGCACAGCCCTTTTCTTCTGTGTAGGTGTGTGCACTGAGAGCTGGGAGAGAGGGAGACTGCAAGGAAGACAGCATACCAATTCACAGTTGCGTTTGTTTTCCTTTTCTAAAGGTCCTTTTTTTTTAAAGCATAGTTTTTATGGTTTATATTCAGTTTTCGCCAACGTAAAATACTGTAAATACTTATAAAGGTCTTGAATTATTGTCTAAAGGATCTCAGGCTTTGGAGATGTTCTTGTGGCTTAAGGTCTGAGATGGTCCTTACGTTTCTGAGTATTTATTATGTTCACGAAGGCGAGCCCTGAGCACATTGTTTCCTGAAGGCTTGCACATGTGGCACAGTTACTGTTTCTCAGTCAGTGAAAAGCAGCGGCCCAGCCCTCAGCCTGGGGCTGTTGCCACAGTGTGGAGACTCCTTCAGTGGGTAGTCTTTCTCCTGGCTGAAGCACACCACACTTCTCTCCCACCCAGATCCTTCTGAATAGTTTGAGGGGGATGGGAAGGGAAGGCTTGTAGTCAACTAGTCTTTTTTATGTTGATAATCTCTTTTCTACTAAAGTGAATGGCTTAGCCATAACTGTAAGTGGACCCTCTGTAGCCCAAGTTAAGACATATATATATTCATAACCTTTTATGAATTTGTATATATGAATAGAATTTTTATGTTGCAAAAATTACATACATTGTATGTGAGTAAATTTTATATGCTGTAGTCTATCAGATTGTATCATAAAGTTTTATTTTTCTTTTTTACATAAATCATTAAAATAATCACCTATTTTTCCTATAAGTGTATGGGTTGTCAAGTTGATAAAAAAATGTAAGCTTTTGGACTTTTAATTTCAGATGTGTCCAGGGGAAATAGCTTCTCATCCAGACTGTGACACAATGCTTTTCCTGTAGTGATTGACACTTTGTGAGCTCGCTCCTCTTCTGCTAGAAGGTTTAAGATGGCATGAGGCATTTCTGAAGGCCTGTATTGTGACTGTCTTTGTTTTGGGGATATACACATTAAGCCCTGACCTTACTTTGAGAGAGTACAGAAGTAGAATTCCTAGGTGTTTCCCTCGCTGGTTTATAAGTTTCTAGAAGGATGGAGTTACACGGTATTGTGTAACTCCATCTGTGAAGTTACAGATTCAGCTGACGTTAATCCGAGCCTGGAAGAAATGTGTTCAAGTCGCCTGGGGTGCAGTGGGGAGATGTTCCAGTGAGTAAAGTATTCACTGTGCAAGTGCGAGGACCTGAGAAGGGACCCCAGAACCCGCATCAAACAGCCAGATGTGGTAACTCACATCTGCAGTCCCAGAGCTCCTACAGCAGGATGGGAGACAAAGGGGCGTCCTCAGGGGCTGGACCAGCCTGGTCTATGCAGCAGCAAACAAGACCCTGCCTCAGATGAGGTGGAAAGAGAGAACTGACTTCAAATGTGCATCTGCTCTCATACACATACCCAGACACACGGGTACTCAAACAGTAGCTCAGGGCTAACATCCATACTTCAGACTTTCTTATTCAGACTTATTTTCCTTCCAGGGGTCAACCTCACAAAAAATAACAGTGCCTCAAGTGTCAGGGAGAGTTCGGGGTGGATAGGCATCTAGTCTGTTGACAGTGATCCTAACTTGCTTTACCAAGCAAGCTGCCTGAACTAACCAAGTTCACTCTCTATTTTTGATGTGCACAAATAAACTCAAGCAAGCAGAAAAACTCCTTATCTATGGCTTTTAAGCATTAACCTGGTTTAAGCAATCTGGAAACGTCCTCTAAGTGCTCCACATAGGTCCTGTGGCCTGCAGTGCTGTGAACAGAAGTACTTTCCTAGGTGAGTCACAGGCTGCTGCTTCCCAGGCCACTCAGAGCACTCCCAGAGGCACCAGGTGCCGCAGGCTGCTCCTCCAAGACAGCTCTCCTGTTGCCTGTAAAACTCAAGACCACCTCATTCCTCATTTTTATTTTTAAACCTGTCAAGGCATCCATCTTGCTGTTAAAATACTTAGATTCCTTAGCAGTAGGAAGGGTTCAATGTCTACAGAGCAAAGAGGTCTCTGGAGAGAGTGGACATGGCTCCAGTCACCTCCAGACCCTACCTGCTTGCTACTTTCTTGACCAAGCGTGAACCCAAATTTGAATTCGCCTCCCTTCTGTCTGTAGTTTGTGATTACTGGCCTGTCTGCCCGCTGGTCTGTTGTGTGTGTCAGGTCTGTCTTTCTGATGTGTTGTGCCTGTCCCTAACAAAGGGACTTATTTATTGAAAAAGGTATAACCACAGAGTTTAAGAGGGTGCTTTTTATGTTATATATGGTATTCTAGCAGTTTCCATTCCTAGGACTAGTCAGGTATCTAATCCTTGAAACTATACAAACCATAGCTTTTAGATATCTTTTTCTCTAACTATATCTTGATTCTCCCCTCTATGATGTCAGAAGTATTTTGTGTCATAGAGAGCAAAGTTTGTATAAATGAAGCATTAAATTCATGACAAGGACTAGAGAGATGACTTAGTGGTTAAGAGCACCTGCTGTTCTTGCGGAGGACCTGGGTGCAGGTCCTAGAACTCACATGGTGACTTACAACCATCAGTAACTCCTGCTCCAGGGGAGGGGATCCATTGTCTTCTGAACTCCTTGGGCACACACACACACACACACGCACACGCACACGCACATGCATGCGTGCTTGCGCGCGCAAACATCTATACATAAGTCTAAATCTTAAAAAATGTTAACTTATGATAAAAAGGAAAATAAGCTGTGTATCTATACACCAAGGTCACAATTTTATATGTTTATGACTGAGGACATGGACAAAGTCATATATTTACTTATGTGGTGTGTGTGTGTGTGTGTGTGTGTGTGTGTGTGTGTTATATGCTTGTGTGTACATGTGCCCATGCCTGTGTGCAGAAGCTAGCCAGAGAAGGATGTTGGATGTTCCACCCCCTGCCTTACCCTTTACTACAAAGCCTCACTGAACTTGGAACTCATCTTTTTTTTTTTTTCCCCAGCTAGGCTGGCTGGCCGGCCAGACCATGTGATCCTCCTGTCTTTGTCCTTTTTCCTCCCCAAACACTAGGTGGTAGTCCTGTATGGCTGTTCCAGGCTTTTTATGTGGGTGCTGGGGACCCAAACTCAGCTCTTCCTGCTTGTACAACAGGCACTCTACCTGTTGAGCTGTCTCCCCAGCTCTTGAAAATGGGTGTGTAATAGGACTGAAGTAACTGGAGGCAACTTAATTTTGTTTCAAAACTTCCCTCCGTGCACTCAGGGTCAGCACCTGTCAGTGTAGATTGAGTGTTTGGATGTTAGGCCTGTCCTGGAAGCTGGGGAGCCAAAGATTCAACAAGTTAGAAAGCATGGTTCATAGCCATTGTGGTGTTGGTATTGGTTATGTAAAAAAGAAAAGTGGTATATAAAGAAGGCATGTTAATATAACCAACATGTGTCCTACAATTCAAAGGTAACTTTAAAATAAAAGTTTGGGAGATGACCAGCTGAGGGGGTCTCAGTTGGCAGGAAGACAGTGCCAGCACGTAGCCATGAAAGCATAGCCACTTCACTCCTAAGAATAAGTCTGAATTACTGAGTGCACAACTGAGAGAGTCATCTCAAGGACAAAGGGCAAAGGGCACAGTGGCCCTGGACCACCACATCACCCACTCTAGGTTGTCAGCAGGTTGCTCTGGGCCCCTGTCTTTGTGCCCTCAAGCTGGGATTTAAACTAAACAGATTTCCTATAGGAAATGCACATACAATCACACTCTGCTAAAGCTACTTTTATGGACATTTCCCCTCAGAAATATTTCTCCCTGGAAAAATAAATTCACAGGATGTAATTAAAGCCATTATGTGTGTATGTTGGCTGAGCCTGTTGCTAAGTGCTCCACCAAACGGGCTACCAAATCAAGACGTGAAGGCCAGCTTTGTTCCTGTCCATCAACAATGGTATTTATTAATTGCAACGCAAGGAGTTTTGAACCTTTATGGCTTCAGAAATAGCCTTCTGCTGGTTTCCTGCCCAAGGTAGTGCCATTGATTTTGACCCCAGTGTGACCTCTGCAGGAGCCTCAGCTTCCACAACAGCCCCCCTTTGTGCTTGTGTCTTTTGGTTTGGGGCCTAGGAGGAAATAAATCCTAAGCATGAGAATAATTAACTTCTGAAAGAAAAAGTCCCCTAAACAGTGCTTTTGGGCAACACAGCTAAGAGCAGCTACATGCTGTGACGTCTTTGTCTTTTCCTGTCTTCCAAGTCGTTTAGGGGAGCCTTTCCTACACCTCATGTCCTGGTTGGGGATCCAACTGGACTTGTTCCTGGTCCAGAAGGGAAACCAGAGTGTTGTTTTCTGTGACTGTGGGAATGTGGTGAAAAACTACTTGTTGAATGAGGAGATGGTGACCCTTTAGTGAGGCCACAGCGCAGGCGCTCACAGTTGTTTGAGCCAGTGACAAGATGGCATTTTTCTGGGAGCACGTGACAGAACAAAACCACTTGCTGCATATCCAGAAAGTAAAAAAGAATGAGGAAGATCTGGGTCCCACAGTCTGATGGGACATTTCCAGTCACCCCAGTTTCTGACATTAGGCTCCTCCTAAGGGTTCACCAACTCCTAATAGCACCACAGACTGGCGACCAGGCCTTTAATTGCTGTGTCTTTTGGAATAAACTTTACTAGGGAGTCTGCCCTACTCCAAGTGACTTCATTCTGAGGTTCTTCACTGACATTTGCAAAGACCCTTTGTGTAGCTGACTTGCATTCACTGGGGCCAGTTCTCTTTGAGGCCACTCTTCAACACTCTACTCTGGTCTGCGGGTTCCAAGGGACAGTGTTCCACTTTGACTGTCCCTGCATTTCTGGATCTTGTTGGCTCTGGCTGTTGAGTGACATTGATCCACTTGTCCCCATAAGCCCAGGCAAGTTCCCATGAGAGAAACACACACTCATCCCAGCAGAGGGAGAAGTCAGTGTCTACAGGAGATAGCTTCTGGAGCAGCTGTGAGGTGAGGCGACCAGATAATGCCAGGGACCACATGGGTGGAGCAGGGCTGGGTGCCCAGGGCCCTGATGGTCAGATGGGACACCTGATGAACTGCAGAAGCTCCTGGGATGGTGTGAGGAGGCAAAGAAGCCATGTCTGTATATACAATGGGAGGTGGGGGGGGGGGTGGGGGGGCTTCCCTAGCCAAGGGACTCCATCTGCCTAAGGGGCACAAGGCTGGCCTTCAGAGATCATTAGTGGGTTTATGAGTCCAACTGACAGAAGCCATGTCTTATGGGAGGAAAATGTTACCCGACAATGAGGAGCATACAGTATAGGGCAGAGTCCAGGCTGCAGAGGGGCTGCAGTCCCAGTTTACTCTGGCTGTGAAACTGTTCTGGAGCCCCTCTGTCCTGGACTAACTTCCTCATCTGGGATGGGAGTCACTCTCAGATTGTGTCCGAGTGGTTTTCTCTGCTCCTCTCCCACTTCAGGCTGAGGTTTCTTCAGCTCTAAATCTCCCACAGTTCCAGCGCACAGTAGGCACCATACACAGGCAAGTGTCCACACTCCTGCCTACAGCAGCTCCCGGAGCTCTTCCAAACTCCACTCAGAGGAAGCAGAAAAGAATTTCTGTGTGAGTCACAACAAGCCAATATTGTGTTTATTTAGACAAAGCTTTCACAAAGATTTAAGCATGGGAATTAAGAGACGACGATTGGGATGGAGATGGCTGAGTGGAGAAGAGTGCTTGCTGCTCTTTCAAGGCCATGAGTTTGGTTCCCAAGCACCTGTAACTCCAGCTCCAAGGGAA